CTGCAATGGTTGATACTATATTGAATTTATATATAAATGTCACTCTATTTCATTTGTATTTACCTGTATTCATACATTTTACAGTGTTTGTATATATTGCATTTATTTGTTCATTAAATATTGTGTCACTTGTATGTAAACACACGAAGCATGTAACAGATAAAATTCCTTATCGGTTCGTACAGTTTGTTTTGTTTTTCCATGTTCAATCAGTGAAATTAAAATCGAATGTGCCATTAATTTTGTTATTTTATTCGTTTTTCGTGTTTGCTGGTTTGGATAGATGGCTGATTGGTTTGGTATAATGCCCCTCCCCCTGTTTGGTTCGTGCCTACAAAGGTGTGGACGGATATGCTATAGGCAACATCGTGTTCGGAGTCGTGTCCATTTCAAAGAGAGGTCCTCTCTCAGTAGGACGTGCAAATTAAAATAAAATCGATGACTGTTTATACGTGGGAAACGGTGATGGCAAATGGGATATAATACTACTAGTAATTATAGGTGTCCATATGACTTCCATTGTCAGTGACTGGAGCGATGTATTATCATGGATTCCTCACGTTATTCACCACAAATGAATTTAATAACTATGCATGTCTAATTTTACAAGCAGAAATTTAACTCTGCTATAGGAAGCGTCTTCTCAACACAATCTTAAAATATGGTGGTCCCAGTGCGCTTTCATTTTATGAAACAGTAACACGATAGGTTTCGATAGCAAAATTATATCGAGGACATCGCATAGTTGCGACGAACATTTATCTTAAAATATTATCCGCGCTCTCCGCTTCAAAGTTTTAAATTCAGACATTTGTACAATTGATTGGCAGGTTTCACATCAGTTAGGGAATGCCACGATTACCCCAACACTCCTTAACCCCCGGCATGCTTAATAAGAGTAGCTACTTGTGTGTTGATATATGATCGCTAACATCAAGCAGTGCCTCTTTCGTAAACAATCCCAAATTTCACGTGGTCTCACTTAATTGTAAATAGTCCACTGACCCCATGGCGCCCCTGACTCGCAATCTTCCAATGCTTCAAATTTAAACTCAAAATTCCTGACATTTTAGTCTACTGGGTATTGGAAACAAGCAAATAAACATTTTTGTGCAAATAATTCAACAATGGTCGTCAATGGCTACTGGAAATGAAAAAGGTCCTTTTTTAAACTGTATTAACGTCGTTTTTATGTTTCGACCAATGTGTTGGGCCGTACTACTTACTACCCATGCGCCTCGTCACCACATGGGGCGTGAACATCCCGATTGGTGTGTAATTAGTGATCGAGGTTATTCGTGGCCAGAGTCGTATACCACACATTCTTCTATAGATTGTCTTGATGGGGGAAAACGACGAATATACTACTAACCTATAGTCAGTGTTCACCGAGACTGTTCTCGGTTTCTGGTGATATTACCCTCGACGGGTCAGGTTTGCTACCGGTAGATATAAATAAAAAGGATCGTTTTCCAATTACAAAGCAGCCGTGTTGCACAACTTGGCATTCCAATCGTAACTTAAAACGATAACCAGATGGGGAGGTTGGACGTACAACCTTGTGCTTGGATCGAGTGTCTGTGTATTTCAAGATATCCACTCGGAAACGTTACCTTCGGGTGTGTATGTCGGGCTATACTGTAGGCACCCACTCGGGATAGTTACCGATCGCATCCACAGAGAATGTGCTAATCTGTTCTGCCCATCTTTTGGGATCACCTGTTTACAATAATCAAGTACCTAACAGCAGCGTCTGACATGACCATACATGATACACGTATTCATCGCATTCAGCACTGTGTAATCTTTCAATGGTTCTCTTGATATTTTCTCACAGTAGCTTTAATGGACACTGTGTAATTCTAAAATTGGCAACGATGGAAAACAAATATCATAGCCCCAATCTTAACTTCTGAAAACAAACTCTTTGTACCTTCACTCGAGATTCTGTCCGTGCATATTCACTACATGTCGAGAATTAAACACGTCGGTGATTTTGGTCGGGTAAAATGGAGTATTGCGGGTTTACCGTTCGGAACAGTACTCCGTTATGTTTTCATTTCTATACAATTTCCTATTTTTAGCAAGAATTTGTTTACAAAGGATTCGTACAGCCCCCACCAATACATATAGAACGACATGGACAAAGGTGGATATTTACCCTACAATGTTGTACTATAATTTGATCGATATTTATATGTTTCTCGTTAGAAAGAACTAAATAAACTAACTGTAATTATCATACTCGTATCAACGAGCCCACATACACCAGCCTATAGCGAAATGACGCACTATCATATAGGCAATTGTTTACAAATTACTTTATATTTATGTGTTGGCGATTAACTGTCAAGACTTATCTGTTGATACCACTTGAAACTTGCGTGCATGGTCAACACTTATACTAGTATAAACCAATCAAACTTGTATGTACTTTGTGTTATGCTTTCCCAGGCTAAGCTGATTAGGTCCCGGTTTAGAACACTTATGCAAATATGCGGTAATTATATTGCCCAATCATTGTGAATGATATAAGTCACGTGGTTCATGTTGAGTGTACTGAAACTCGTATTACGGCGTTAGTGTCCCACTGATTGCTTCGTCGTTTACAATACCACATTATGTACTACCCAGACGTCTTCAACTGACATCTACTGTTTTTCTTGTTTAACAGAGGTAACATGGGTGAGATTGCTGTCTGGATCGATGGAAGGGAAAAGCGTGTGGCTGGTATGACTAAGAAAACCACGTGTGGAGAGGTTGTCAAAACTTTACTGCGTGTGAAAAACAAGGATCTCAACGACGAACAACACTGCCTGAATTTTACGCTGTTTGAAAGATGGCGGGACTGTGAAAGACCGCTGCCTGCTAAAACGAAAATCTACAAAGTGTGGAAAGCATGGGGGAATGAACAGGAAAATGTCAAATTTACTCTCAAGAAGTACAAATCTTCGAAGTCAGGTAGTGATAACGGTAGGTCTTACAGGCCAAACAATGATAAGCGTGAACGATGCGGGGACGAAAATAGGAACAAAATATCAAGATCGAAGCACAGGAATAGTCAACACCGAGGGGAAGACGGTGATGACCCTGAGTCTAAACATGTGTTGGAAACTCTGGAAAGTCTGATCCAGGTTGTGATTGCACAGGATCAACGTATACAAGAATTGCTAGAAAGGATAGAAGACACGGATGAGGAAATCGAATATTATGAAACTAGAATTCATATTGAAAGACTGAAAGAAAACGGTAAGAACTATGTACAGGATTCTTATCTGACGGACGCGGACGATGCCGATAGCGCAATGGGAGGGGAGAATATAGAGTCCTACATCTCAGCTTGCGAGAATCTCCTACGATTGGACCAGGACATTGAAAACAACGAAACAACAATTGAGAGATTGACTCAACAATTGGAAGAAGAGTCGCTTTCTTTGTCTTCCTTCAATGAAAATAACAATAGCTGTGAGGCTTCTACGCTGAATCCTGAGAGCGAGGTGGATATGGCGGTAATTCTAGAACTAAACAAGCTTCGTCAAGAGCTGGAAAAGAGCGTGCGAACTGGACTACAACAGAGAGGACAACTCTGTAAGATAAAACAGGAAAATGTGAACTCTGACACTGCATTGGAAAACAAACGCAAGCAGATAGAATGCTTGGCTTTGGAATTGCAGTTATTGAACACTACAGATGAACATCACAACACTGACAATATCGACGTTACTATTGATGACATCATAGAAAATACGGACATTCTTACAAAAGATGTTAATTATAGTAGCAAAGATGCCTATGACAATGAATCAGATGCCGATACAGGTTTAAGTTCACTACACAGCCAAGACGATGACTCACCAACTGTTGTAGAAACATTAGTTTGAACGGTCTTTATTATTTAGCAAATCTATAGAGGGCTCCCTCATATTGGGAAGAATTACCAGTCATCCCCAGTACTTAAATTCCGAGGCAGTATAACAAAACATATACGTAGCTGATGATCTGCAATACTAATTCCTACTACTCACTGTCACATATTTTGTTTTCATTTATTTTTGAAGACATTAATACATAAATGCAAACACTAATACCCTCTTCCGTTCCGATAATGAATGCATGTAATAACATCAGTACTAGTGTGCCTACTATATAATTTGTTAAAACTGTTTTCATCTATGCCATTACTATATTGGATTGTTTTGTTTTGTTTTTAGTTCTTTTATAACCAAAAAATTATGTTCACCTTAACCAATGGAAAATATGCCAATATTTATATAAGTGTTATAAGTTAATTAACAGTACAATGGAATGTCGAACGCCATTACAGCGCGGTTGTAATTCTACGTTTTGTCTATTGTTTGATGTATAGCCAGTTCACTGTAGCAACCTGGCATTATTTTATTTATTTATGCTTGTTTTGTAGCTATGTTTACACAGAAATCAGAATTTTAAAAAATGTATCATTTTAAATGCTGTATTATTTACTAACAAAAAAGCTGCCAAGTAATCTTTCGCAAAAAATCCTCATGTTGACCTCGCCTGCTGACTTGGTCCCATCTGAGTTGTGTTTATGAATGATGCATTCGGATTAAACAGTATTACATTTCACTCTGTAAATACATTGTAATCTGATAGAAGTTTCAAAAATGAAAACTAAAAAGATGAAAAGAAATGTGCCAGCTTACTCTGTCGGCACAATGTTATATACTATTCCCCAATTGACAATATTTATAACGATTTATAACATACTGTAACTATATATCAAATATATCAACAATGCTCGCTTTGTTTTTTGTGTCACGATCACACACAGTCATGGACTATTTAACTACTAAACCATGTAATATACTTTACAAAAGCTTCGGGCAATATCAACTGCTTGACCCTACCCTGGCAACTGAACTGTACTTATTAGTATCGTACATATTTTGGGGAGTCAGGTTTTAAGTTTTGTTGTTGTTGTTATTTCTTCACCGTTGCTAGATGAATTCTAGGCGCCCTCATCATCTATGTTTGTTCTCAATTTATCAATTACATTATAATGCTGCTTGAAAGAACTTTTCATCTTTATTTCAAAATAGTATGTATGTTTGGTTTTAAGAATGCCAGTATCCAGCGCATATTTAAATATATATTCCATCATATAATATTCAATATATCGTAAGTATGTTGCACTCTATGCACTGAATTGCTACATTTATGGTTGTTTTCCATTTGCGGTTTAAATGAATGTAACTTTCCATCAATCACGTGACTCAGGAACATTTTTAGCGCAATATGTAATTTAATAATATCTACCAATTTGTGATAAAACATATTTTATGAATTTTATATCCATGAAATGATGGTCTATACGATTATTGAATAACGACTTCTCTGATTGGAAGAGAGTCCAGCTGTGTGTGGAATAGTAACACAGTGAATCATGTGCTAATACGAAGATTAAAATAGAATCAATAATGGACAGTTTGGGTATTATTACTTCATAAATACGTCATTGTAATTCGTTGTCTATTAATATTGACTGTCTATACAAGTCAGCTATCTTAATAAAACAATATACAATATTTTAATATGTGTTGAATAAATGATGAGTCCCTCTCCAACGAATATCAAAGATTTGATATACAGTTTATTTGAAGAAATTGCATCTCGATGACTGAAGCATACCTACTATTTTGCACAGACTTTCCAGCAAAACACAAATGTCAAGCCAACGTATAAATCTTGCTTGTCAAAAACTAGTGTAATGTGTTCCGGGTGTAGAATTCAGTGTCCATTTACGCGATGCCTCGTTTGTTTTAAGCAGATGTGCACTGACTATCATTATGTATACAGTGTACATTCAACCACCGTAATTGTAAGACTTAATAACTCCGAATATTCCAACATTTAAGTAATTTCCCTTCCATTAATTTCTGACACTTGGAATGGCATGGCAATTAACCTTGACCGTTACAATACGCCAGTGTAGTCCCTGTATACAATATACAATAGTGAGAATGGTCATTGACCTCGGAGTATTAATCGAAATTCCAGTGCGTGTTCCCCGACCTTCCCATTCATCATCCTTTGTCCATATATCGTCAATAAGATATACCCACCCTCCTCCCGTTTACTGTTCTAATTAAATACCGCCAATTTGCAATGCACGGCCCCACGGTGGGTGATCCAATCAATGGCCGACCAAGTTACGTGATATTTTCGGACTTGAGTCCAAGTGAGAGAAATGCCATTTTCAGATATACAAATCAAAGTTTATATATTGAATTTGTAATGGAAAATCAGTTCGAAAAAATATACCAGTGTTCCGCGTGTATCAATACAAAAAGAGCGCACGATATTACACACAAATAGTTGGTAAAATATCACAATAGACACAGACCACCCAATTGTTTTAATGATATTGTGTTACTCGTAAATGCCTACACCACAGACACTAGTATATATTGCGGGGGTTCTCTTGTCATCTTTAATTATAAAACGAACCGCGACACAACTACAGATCTTCGCAACGTGTTTTAACAACGATAATTTACAATCTGTTTATTAAATCATTGCTGTGGCGTTTTGTCACCAAAATCGATGCATGACACATTTGATTTAAGACAAGTTGTGTGGCTTATTTCCCTAATAAAAAGGCTCATAACGAATAACTTGTGAAACACATGTTTCAAACAGGAAAAGATCTGAAGATTGAGGAGTAAAATAAGCGAACTTCCGCTCATTGAAACTGGAATAACCTGCTGAATGAAATGTTAATAACAGCACGCAGGGAATAATATATTGATGTACAGTAAGCTGACTGATTACCGATATTTAATACTTGGGCGACCATCTTGAATCCGTTTTTCAAGTCCAGGCAAGATTCAAGATGGCTGCCATATTAAATACATTAAATATCGGTACTATCGACACAACACTCTTGTTTTTGCATTCATTTATTTCAATATTTATAAAGTTCAGACTGAAACAAGAGATTTTTAGTGGCCAATAGAATAATTACTGGTAGAGTTGGGTAGATGCTAGAGGTAGTGGGGCTGTGGTAGTTGATGAGGTGGGGCTAGTGGTTGGCGTCGAGGTGTGATTGGTCGTTATGGTTTAGGTGGGAATGTTTGTTGTGGTTGTGATGGGGGCAGGTGTGTCGAAGTATTTAGGTATGCGTTAATGACAATTATGGCGGTTGGAATCAGGCAGGTGGCGGTCAGGCATTTTATTCATCTTGGCGGTAGTGGCCAGTTGGTTTGGCAATGATCGATTGATAGTTGGTTGTTTGTTTGTTGATTAGTTTTCCAATGGTCCGTGGTTTATTACTTGTAGATGAATTTACCGTAGGTAGGAGGTCAGTGATGGCCATTCTGTGAGTTGGCTGTCATTGAATGTCCATGTGTTTGAATACAGTGTTTGTCAGTCGATACTAAACTGAATAATGGGGTTATATTAATCGCATTTGAGCACTGCTTGCATTTTTATATGTCTCTGTCGAAAACTACTGAACTTTGACATTTCATAATGGACAACATGTGCTTCATTTCTAAGGAATTCATGTCTTGACAACCGCAAAACAAACTCAACCAATTGTCCGATATAGTAAAGATGATGTCAGTGAGGGCAATGTATGAGAGGCTATGCAATTTGTGTTCGATAAAAAAAGGTCAGTCACATCTAGGAATGCTATTACTACAATAAACCTGAAAGATCCCATTCACATTTGTGAATATCCCTATTAAAATTAGTATATTGAGTAATGGCGTCGGTTTTGCCTAGGGCATGCGTCTAGACCAGCTTCTCAAGGGGCTACAGATATCCACTTTTTACATGTACAGCGCGTAATGATGTGACACAATGCGCAAAACGTGGTGATAATATTGTGATTATATCCAAAGAAAAGAAAAATGGAGGCAGACAATATTCAACTATGTTCCTTGATAAGTCTTCATCTTCAAGACTGTACGTCTGCGAAAGGTCAGCCACTGTCCTCTAACAACAAAATTAGTGGCCGAATAGCTCGTTTTCGAATACAATATAATTGGATGAAAAGGATGGGGGATACTATAGGAATGTCTGATCTCAGTTTAACTGCTGTGTATAACACTCATTCAACGTGCGTATTCTGCCATCTTTTGTACTTATTCAGACTATACCAGTGAAATGAACAATAACCCTGGTCATTATCTTGTCAGTATACGTACATACCAATAGAGACAGACAATCTGACAAGTGATGGACAGCCGTACAGAGAATTAGGGAGGGTATCACGTACGCTGAATGACTTGTCACGTGTAAGATGTACAAATCATGGTCAATGCTGTCTTCCTATTTTATGTGGTCATGTTACATGTGTAAGAGCCGTGACACGCTGACGTCACTGGCTAAAATACATCACGTAATAATGATGATATAACAATATTATATTTAACATGAACTACATGTACTAATTAAAGTTTATTTAATTATATTTAAGTATATGTATGATAAGATGCTAGTCTGATTTATCCCGCAAAAACTGTACCGTTGATCCAAAAACGAGAGAGTGTTTCAAATCAGAAACATTGATGCCATATAATCTAGTTTTATAAGATAAGGTAACATAGTTGGTACCAAAGCAACTTTTACTAGAATTTACCTTGATATGAATACACGTAAAACAGGAAAAGCATACGCCGCGCGTAAAACATGTTAATTAGTATCATATATTTAAATCCATGTAATGAGCTCTGGTCAGTAGGCAATTTAAGTAGGTTTAGATAAATCATTTAGACGTATCATTATACAATCAATTGCCACTATTGAACTTTGATTTTAAAATATCCATATTAACACAAACTAGTATAAATTCCTAATACAGTTTGCTGAAATGCATGTAACACAGTCTTAGGACTGAATGAATTTAAACAGTATTTACAGTCCAATAAATGTATACGCAGTAAATTTTGTTAATAAAAGTTGCAATAAAATATA